TGTATTTTATTCTGGGGTTATTGCTCAGTTTTACGAACCACTCGCGTACGGGAGGGTATTTCCAGCCTCTTGACAAAATATACGACTGCATGGAAGTTTATAACTGTAGTTAGGATTTCAGTACAGATAATTATACGCCCAGGGGCTTTTGTATTATTTTTATTAGTCGAGGTAAAATTATTGTATTATGTTTGACAAGTAATTTATTTATTGTTAAGGGAAGTTGTGTTACAGAGAAGCTTCATGTATTTTGCTGTATTTTTGTACTTTTTTTGTTTTGGCTTGCCTAGATGAATGTATTGTGGGTAACACTTGTCACGTCTTTTATTAACTTGTGTGGTATTTACTATTTCTTTATGCTTCAGTTTTCTTATTTCAAGTAATTCAAAATGTATGGTTGTTTTCAGGGAAGCAAGAGTCAAGAATAAAGACTTGATTCTTTTGTTCTCGGCGAACCCAAATGGCGGAGAATGTTGAGAGTTGAGATTTAAAAAAAAAAACAATGTCGTAGGTATGGATGAAGTTGGGGTATATAAATGTTGTTTTTTTCTTGATATATAAATTGGATAGGGTTGTTGTTGCTTTTCTGATCTTTTTCTTCTTCTTTTTTATAATATTGTAAAGAGAAAACCTGAGCCATTTACTGTACAGGTGTGTGGAAGAAACTTTTTATTAAGGCATTAAATATGTACAGTCTCTCTTTCTTAAAATGTTTTTTAACTTTAGTAAATCCTTTTTTTTTTCTTTTTTTTTTATCACATCTATAATTTCCTGTACATGATGACGATGTAGATATATGTCAGCTCAAATATCTAAACCATGTGAGTGTTGCTCCAAGTATTGTGTGCAGTGAAAATTAGAGTATTGTTGGGTTTTTTATGGGGGTAGAAAACACTTGACATTCCCAGGAGTTCTTTGCATAATTAACTTGGTAACTAATGATAAACACGGGTGACCAAGTTGCCTCTCTGTATTTTATGTTGTCTAGAAGATTTAACATGATAAGGAAATGTTAAAACCTGGATGACTTTATCTGTGTGGATAGAGATTTACACGACGCTCTACTGTAATCGAGTCTTATAAAGATTTTTAAGTTTGCCAAGGTACTATTTGCCAAGGTACTGTAGAGGATTCTGAGTTTGCCAAGGTACTGTAGAGGATTCTGAGTTTGCCAAGGTACTGTAGGTGATTCTGAATTTGCCAAGGTACTGTAGAGGATTCTGAGTTTGCCAAGGTACTGTACTGTAGATTCTGAATTTGCCAAGGTACTGTAGAGGATTCTGAATTTGTCAAGGTACTGTAGATTAATTGCAGAAGTCACTGAATATATAAGTACACTGTAGTAGTAATAAGTAGGGAGATTTATAGAAAAGATATGGTGTTGATGGATGCTAGGTTCCTCACCGTAAACTGTTGCAAGGAAGACAAGAATACAATTAAACCTCAAGAATTGGAACTGTATGGGGGCCCCAAGGTGTGGTCTGCATTTGTTGATTTAGATTAAAGGAATGAAATTGACAAGCCTTCCAGCATGCATGGTGTTCTACAGTAGGGAACCTAGACATCTTAACCCCTTGTGTATGGGTTCCCCTCTGAGTGTCAGCCAAAAGAAATTGGGGTTAGTGGGTGACTGTGAGCTTGTCTGCCACCTTTACCACTCAGTAGTTCACCTTCCATTATATGACAAAGAGGAACTGAGCCAGGCATCATGGTGAAGCATTAGATACTCAGTAAGGAGAGCCAGCTAAATGTACGCCACACTGTAAATCTCGTGGGTTCGGGTTTAAATTTTATCCTGGTCATATTTTAATCAAGGTATTCGTTACACTTAGGTAACTTGTAGACGGTTTTAAAGAAGTCTTGCAACATTCTCGAGTTAGGTTGGGCAACACTGTCCTCTGCCCACCTAGGCAAGATAAACATGAGCAACAACCAGTGATGTGCACCCATTGTTGAGTGATTAGAGGAATCCATATTAGTTTATATATATTTACTGATAACATACACAATAAAGGAAGTATTTTCTTAGGAGAATACTGGCTTGTTTTACAGGGTGTGTTTATGGTAGTCCAACACAACCTAACTGACCAACCATCAACAGCCTCCGTTGCCCATTAACACTGGCAATGAAACACCCAAGAAACATGACTATGGTTCTGTACAAACATTGACATATACACTAGTGAAAATATTAAATGATGAGGAATATCTATTTTTTGTGCACATTAGAGCGAGAACATTCCACTACTATACAAGGTACCTCAGGTGACTAGCAGCAGCCTCTCACTCAGTAGTTTGACAATAACACATCAGGGAAACTTTCCACGTATACAGGAAAGTGAACTTTAGTACATGCAGTATGTTATAGAAGAAATATGTATACGTACACAGTGCCCTTCTCTTACAACTGCATATCCACGCGGCATTCTTATATGCGTGGGTGAATGTTGTGTGTGTAGTTACCACGTGAAAGATTTTGTATTTGAGGCCAAATTTAGACAAAGTTCATATTATCATAAGAGTTTCAGAATTTGTCAATTTTGTCTGAATTATCCCAAATCTGAATTAGTGAGGTGGTGTTACTGTACTTATAATTTCCAGAGATGTAATACAAGAAGTGTACTGTAATGGCCAAAGGTCTCCCCATCTTGAACATGATGTACAAATGTTCTGTAGATGGTCTTTATGGTTATATAATCTGTGAATGTTTGATGTACCTCTTGTTATTGTTGAAGTGCATGAGTTTTTAAAGAAACAATTTATGACCAGTGTGTGTGCACGTGCATAATTAACCCCATACACTGGAGTGGTACTATAACAATATTTAAAACACACATGGATGAATAATTATTACGTGTTTGGTAATGATGTAAGTGAAGGAATAACCACTAAGGCAGAAGACTGTAACAACAAACATTATAGGGTGAATTATACACATAACAGTTTCACCAGCCAGAGGTCGGCTGGTTTGGTCTTGTGGTAAAGATAATTTTTTAAGAGAATTGACTGTGGTAAACTTGGTGTATGGTTATTACTTTCTTGTAAATGATGCACCATATTTTTTAACAATTACATAATGTGTGTCATATACCTGTAGAGGGATTTAGGGTGATATTAGTATATTTTAAATGAGTAGTCCTGTATGTGTTATATCTTTGTTCTCGCCAAGACTTGTTGCAACTGTTGAGTGGATGTAGAACTCAGTACTGTACTGTATTCAGTCTTTATAACCTTGATAGTAATGAAGATATGGCTGGTCAAGTACTGTACTGGTTCAAGTCACAGAAAAACAACAATATTAGTGTAACTTATATACTACCATGATTACACAGGTTGTGGAGCAAGATTTGGCTTGAGCATTAATGTCCTCTTTAATTTCATCTTCGTAATTAAACTGGAAGAAGTAAAATATAACTGTCTTGTGTATGTTGCTTTAAGTGACTGAATAATGATCTGATGATTATTGTGCAATACAGTACAGTGAACACAAACTAACCTCGGTGAATAAATAGTGGTGAACAGTACAGTCGCTGAATAATGATGATGTACAGTGCAGTAGTGTGGTACAGTACAGCACAGCACTGATCTAAGTTATCTAAAAGTTTTCTTGTCAGTTGATGTAATAAAGACTGATGAAAATGTATTAAACCAGGTTGTAAAGTGTATTTTGTGTAAAGGAATTATGATTTTGGTGACCATGTGGATCAAAATATAAAAGATATACAGGACTAGTCCAAGAATTCCTGACTTTGTACCATTTACAGTTTGACAGGTTTTGAATGTTTAGTTTTTAATCCTTATAAGAGGAGCTTGAATGGTCTTCCATTGTGTTATGTACTGAGTAGGACCTCTAGAACTCCAGATAATGTTGGACCCAAAACCCATAATGACTTGATTATTGAGGTTAGGTACGACAGATTATATAGTGATCAGTTATGGCTGCGTCCATAAAATGGGATGGCCCGTACTCTAAGAATTCTTCCTGTGGCGGAGTAAGAAGCATTCGAGTTAGCATCATCTATAACCATCAGTAATCAGGAAATAAATAAATTTTTTGTCTTTGCTCAAATTTTGGTTAAATTTTGAGTGGCGAGTATAGCATCTTTCACTCTGATTGGCTGGCTGATGCTCTGCTTAGCACTTTTTCATGCCCCCTTCTATAGTCTATAAGAGGAGCACTTAATATTACCCTTGTCTATCCATCGGCCCACATGAAATGTTACTTTGAGAAAACCTTCAGAGATAAAATTAAATTGTTATACAGCTTGGTATAATTGACGTCTCGGCTTTGTTTTCAATAGATATTTTCCAGTGATGGCCTAGATTTTTCTAAAAGATTTATCTACCATATAAAGAAAAATGCTGTTTCTGCTTGCTAACTTGAAGAATTTAGTACTGTATGCTATACAACTTTGTCATTAATACGGTAGAGTGATTCCCTGCAAATGTGCAACTTGGTAAATAATGTCCCTCCCTCCCTCTCCTCCCCATTCACCTTCACCCATCCAGACTTTTCCCATTGTGCAATATCTGATTGGGCTGGGAAGTTCTTGGGGGGATGTAGAACTATGATAGCAACCTTACAAGAAACAAGTGGCCAAGGCCTTCATTATTATGGATGAGGTCGTACAGGTTTTTATGACGAGAAAGGGAGTCTTCTCAGCCCAATAACCTGTCAACCAAACATTAGCAGGGGACCACTGTATCTAGGCTGGAGGCTTCACTAATAGAACTTCCTTATTTATTTTTGTGTGCATATTTGCCAGAATTGTAGCTTTAAAAAAAATTCGGATGAGATATAATACAAATTTTTGGTGATTTAGAATATGAATTTTATTTTCTCACTTTGAGTGTGATGAGAACATTCCTCTGATTCAGTTTGTGTCTTAGTTAATTTATTATTTGTTACTTCTTCAACATTGCTGCTGGTCGGTATTTCCGTGAAGGAAACTATAATATATTATTAAAGTTCTCTAACTACATGACATATTTGTTTACAGATCCATGATGTATGCAGGTGAACTGAAGTTTGAAAAGCGCACAATTTCAGCTCAGCGTGAAGGAAATGTACATAGCCTGTTTTCACACGAGAAGAGGCTCTTCTAGGCTCTTGAAGTAGGACAGTTATGATTTTAAAGCAGTTGTGCTCATTTATGTATTACCAAAAGTTACAGTGAATTTATACTGTATTATCTAATTCAGCTAACAAACTTGAGTATGATTTTTTTCATGGCTTAGATAGCAGTGTTCTGGATGTATGGAAACATTATATAAAATAGTGAATTGGATGTTATGTGTTTATTAGGCACAGCATATGGGTAATGCAAGCAATATTAATGTGTGTGTGGCAGAGGCTGTGAAATGTAGATTCAGGTAGTTGTTGACAATTGCTGGCAGGAGCTACATAGATTACTGGGTCCTCGTTAGAGCTTGTTCTTCTGCGCCATACTTATCACAAGGTACAGTACAGTACAAGCAATTTACTTCATAATATAGATTTTTAGAATGTAAACAATTGTACAAGAGAAGTCAGACTGATTACTGTACAATAAACTTCTGATGAACACCCATATCATGACTAAATGTATTTTAACCTCTTCTTCTGACTTACTATTATTGTTTTTTGAGAACTAAGGAACTAAACTGCTGCTCAAAAATGTGACATTCAAGAAGTGACATTTGGTTTTTAGAATTACCGTAAAGCCACATAGTGTAGTGGGGAGAACTACACCATTTCCTTTATAGTCATGTTAATATTTTACAAAATGTATTCATTCCACTTCCCATTTTTTTAAGAATTTGTTTTCAGATTTTTTTTTATATATACTACTTATGCAAATATTAAAAGTTAGTATCAGATAAATTCACCGCTTCCATACTGTGGGATCTCCGTCACAGTCAACCTTTTTGTTCTGCTGTGACGCGACACAATGATGGAACTCGGCACTGACATCCGGTCTAACACACACTTTTATTCAGTACAGTATTATTTATTGTCAGTGTTTGATGTATTTCCTTAATCTATTTGCTGTTAGTCTTCAATAATTATTTTTCTAAGTCACAGGTGCCAATTATATTGAAAATATTTGTATCGAGAATTCTGAAGAATGGACTTCATGCAAAGGTGAACTTTAGTAATAATTTATTAAATACTACCAGCTGTTTATAATGAATTTAATGTGTATATAGAACAAAGATTTCTCAAAGTATTATATTACTCTGTGAGGTTTGTTATGTCATTTGTCTACCGAGGAATTTTATTATATTCCTGGTACGTACGGAGGCCATGCCATCACACAAAATAATTCAATCGTTGGACGATGGATGGCAGAATAATGGAGTGCTATCAAAAAGTGTGATAAAAGAACACAAATATCTCAGCTTTATAAATTTCTGCTTGACAAGGGTCCAAACTACATAAATATTTTCTGATACATAGATGATAAAATTATCTTCCATCTCAAAGTAGAGAGTAACATTAGTAATAAACCTTTGCCTCACTTATATAGGATGTGGCAAACCAGATCTGGGAAGACTTAAAATTTTAATCTTTCATTCCTTTTTTAGGCTAATTTGAAGTAATGTTTTATACAAGTCATAAGTAAAAAAAAAAGATGTGTAGTAATTTGGGTGAGAAGATGACCAAGTTTGCCCTTCTGAGCTAAGTAAGGTAGTGTATTGATGTAACTTGTTTTTTCCTTCATAACATTTTACATTATAAAGAAAATTGTCTGCCATGTTCATTACTGAATAAATGATCTGATATTAATGTGCTTTTATGTTTGCCTTACTGCAGTTTTTTACTAAAATTCAATATATGGAAAGTAAAACTCACTACAGGACAAAGCATGGAAATTTAGGTAAAAACAAATTGAAATTTTAGAATAAAAATATAGTACTTAGTTTTTCACCTGTCTCCCACCGAAAACAAACAAACTGCTATACTGTATAAACAATAAAAAGTTACACAGTCCTTCATATAATACAATACTGTATTGTAGGTGCTCGGCTGAATTATCTGTTTATTTGAGAATGGTTAATGGTCTGTGAGACTGGCCGATAAAAGGTGTAAATCTATGGATTAGAATTCATTTTTATTTGTAACAGCACAGTACAGTACTAGCAGCTCAGAATGTAAGCAATATGGCAAAGATCCATAATCATTAAGCAAATACTGTGCCACAAATGGGTGTATGTTACTTTTTGCACTCCCATTGTTAGTTTCTTTATAATAAATATTTAAAATCAGATCAGTCACCTTGTATATCTAGACTTTGCCAAGGCTTTTGACAGCGGACCCCATGAAAGACTGAATATTAAACTGGAAGGGTACGGGATCCGGGGAAGCCTTGATTTTCTCAACCACACGTGGTGTCTGGTGATTAATGGCACAAAATGTGTACCCGTGACATTGTAGTGTACTAGGCCAGTTGTTTGTTTTATATATGATGTGCCAGAATCTATAGACTCCTACATACAAATTTAGCAGGAGTGTATTTCCCGTCCTGGCAATCCTGTGTGTGGGTATGTGTTGTGTGAAGGGTGTTTAGTATGGGAGTTTTAGAGAGTTGTCTGGTGTATTTTTAGTTTAGGGTCACAGATTCCAGATTCAAATTTACTTTATCTTCTTTTCTTAGGCTAGTTTATTGGGCACAACCCTTCCATATTATATAAGGGAGAGCATTCCAAAGAAGCATACATGTTTCCCGCTACAGACGCACGTGTGTCTGTTTACTCCACACAATTGTCAAGGTCAACATGGGCGTGGGGCTTCATCCAGTACTCTTCCAATATTGTATTATATTATATTAGTGTGTGTTTACAGCTTCAACAAACAATATTTATTTAGTAATAATGACAAAATCTAAACGTACATTCAATATTATTTTCTGGTGAAATATCTTGATAAACAACGTATACAAACACGGACTATACTTAGACAAAGAAATATATTTAGTTGTAGAAAATTCAGATCAAATTGATCATATATAGATAGAAAATACATAAAAGTGATATTATGAAGTTACAGCAGCAGGTTATATAAGGTGAAGATAACAACAACACGCAGGTGAGTCTTGACAACGAGGGCGGCGTCGTTAGCAACCACCTCCACACTCACTCTGGCCTCAACAAATGGCTGAATTACGCAAACAAGAGAGCATAGATGACACCAAAAAGATCGTTCATACATATCCTTTATTGCGGGTAAGTATAATGTTACATTGAATATCTTTAATATGTTGTGGGTTAGCCATAAGACGTCTACCAAGTATAGATGGTTACCCCAGACTCAACTCAGTGGTGACAAGGTGTACTGGACACTTCTATAGCTATGGCTAACTGGTATTCTCAGAGGTCCAGTGGGGGGCATCTCCATGGGGCAGTGTTAATGTAAGAGGAAACAGGTGTACTGTAAGATGGTGGAACAGTGAGACATACTAGTGTAACCCTAAGTAAATCGTTGTCAATTTGGAATTTGACAAATTATTACATATTTTATTACTAGTTATGAAAACCACCAAAATGGGCCTTTAAATAATAAGGATTTTTTTCTTTTACTCTTAACCTTTATCCTTTTTGCTACTGTAACTATAAAACAATGTACACCAGAAATAGTTTATTTTGCTTAATTTATATTTTCTCCAGCATACAGACATGTCAGAGGAGATGAAGACAGAGACAATGGAGCTGATAGTTACTGCATGTGAGAAACACCAGACAAACAATGAAGTGAGTCACTTATTGATCCTCCACTCGTATATCATCACAGATCACCATCACGTTTTTATGGGTAACACAGTAGTATGTAATTGTGTCATAAAGTCCTGTACTGCCTCACCTTTTCTTCTTGGATCTTCAAGTTTGTGATATATGAATCTGTACTTATGAACCTCCACTGCCTGAGGCCACTTTTTACCAGAGGACATGACTAATTTAACAATTTACAAAGCCAAATGTTTTCTCCTATAAATGGGATTGATTTGGCCTTGAGCTGTATGGATGATGAAGTGCCACCTCTAACAGAAAACAGTATCTGTCGTTGTCTGTCTAGTTATTGTCACTATATCATATCCTTTGATCAAAGTTGAGTTCAGCCAGAGGTTGTTCAGGAGTATTTTTGTGTATAAATATATCCAAAACAAGTCATTAGAAATGTCATGTGTTCAACTTTGTTTAATTTTGACCTTTCAGATACTGTATTTATCTGCGTCTTGTAGGCTTTATTATTATGACATTATCTTTTGACTTGTCAGAGTGCAGCACGGGTCATCAAGGAGACAATGGACAAACGGTATGGAGCAACTTGGCATTGTGTTGTTGGAGAAGCTTTTGGTTTTGAAGTGTCATATGAAGTCAAGAATCTCCTGTACATGTTTTTTGCTGGTAATCTTGCCATAGCTGTGTGGAAGTGTTGTTAGGGTAAAGTGCTAACATCTGTACTGTACACTGTTAACCTCTTCACCAATGCCAGACGTTTCATTCGGCAGAGAGGGGAGTCCATACACAAGTGGTCATGGATAAAATTGCATTCCAGTTTTCTGATGAAATAAGTTGTTTCAGTATACAGTACAACATGTGGATCACCTGAAGAATCTCCATCCCAGCTTATTTCACCTAAAGATTAACCACACTAATACTAACCTAACCTAACCAATCAACTCACACAACCTATCCTGAAATAAGCTGGGATGGATATTCTTCAGGTGATCCACATACTGTATAGCACTTGTAGTCAATAATTGTGCAATAAGTTGATAGTTTCATGTGTTAAATAGCATAAGGAGTAAATTAACCTTGCTTACAATCTTTTGCTATTTTGCATTAACCCTTAAACAGCGGCTAAGGATTCCCTACTCCACCTTCATATGCACAGAAAATAGAACGTAAGGAACATGAAAGTGTTACTGATGATGGCCACCGTCCCTCCATCTATCATCCACTAGAAATGGCCGCTGTTTAAGGGTTGATAAATCATGATGCAGTTGAAGTAAAGGCCAAATAATTAAAGCTACTTTTATTGTTTTGTCATGTTTTTGGTGTGTAATTTGATCTGTCCTTTGGTGCTGGAGTGATGTTGACAGGTGGGTTAGTTACTTGTTTTTTATGTCCCAATATACCTTTTGTGTGTGTTTAGAAAAGATTTTGGTGGCATTATTTTAGCTGTATGTATTGTACATTATTGCTTCGGGTACTACAGTAGTTTTGAACTCATGCCTTACACAGAAAGGGACTTCAGGATATTATATGTAAACAGAATGAGGAACTGCTGATGTGGTTAAACAGGGCAAGATTTAGGTGTCTGATCTAGGCAACTAAAGTAATTTTTAGTTGGTCTCAAATTCTTAGTTGTCCATGTGTGTGTATGTTGTTTTACTTGTGTTATTATCACTTCAGACATCACATGACATTTCCTTAATTCTTTACAAAATAATCTTTGTAATTCTGCTTAATGTGACCTTCAACTGCCCATACAAATGCAAAGTCTGGGTTTGGGAAACGTTCCATTAACTCAAGATATTTTGCCCTCATATTTAAGAGTCCTGGGTAGAGTTACTTTGCCAGAAATGTGACACTAACCAAATATCAGTACAATATTTTTAATTTATTGATTTCTGAGTTGTTTTATGTTTGAGCTGCAACATGTGCTCACTGCCAAGCATCTCTGGCCAATGCTTGAGACACATTGTAATGCATGACAGAATGAATTTTCTCTATATATTCACTGCTTTAGCGTGCAACTATCTTACATAGATAAACCTGAATCCACTGGTTGTCTCACAGACCAAAGAGGTTTCAGCAGTTGTTGACAGTTTAACATAGTTGTACACTCTCATTCACTTTGAATTCCAACTTGACTACATGGGATAACATGAATCAACTTCAGTCTTTGTTTACAGCATGACTGTCATCACCTTCCTACTTAATCTCTAGAATAATCATTGAAGTTTTAATTGTGTTTCTTACACTTTACTGATCTTGGTTTTTATTATTACACAATACAAGGAATATGTCCCACAGTTTTTGTATACCTGTATATATTATCTTGGGTTTTATGGTGCAGTGGCTGAGGAGAGGCAGCACTCACCTCTTGTACAAAGAGTGACTTATTTGCACACCCAGCTGTGGATGGTCACCTCACTTTAGATGAGAGTGTGAAGGTGAATATTGTTTGTGTCCAATAGCTGACATTATGAATTTAGAAAAGCTTTGTCTCAAAAGTAAGTCTAGTGATTCAGTGTTGTATGATAAAGTGACAACAACATCTAGAACAGCTTGAGAACAATACCTAACTGTTTTTTGGCATCTTCTCCTCTTAACAGTTTTATGATGGAGTAAAATCCCTGTGACACTCTTTAAGACCAATTTCCATAGGTAGATAGACTACATATTGTACAGTCCTTTTTTAACTGTCAGGTGCTGACTAACACAGTGATAAAGTCTACATTAACACAGGTCAGTTTTAACTTGATTCTGTGTTCCAAACTGTGGCATTACGTATACACGTTTCTCTGTCCATTTATTTGCGAGTTATTTAAATGATAAACAAATTATGATTCTATTCAAAACAGCTCTTGTATTTATGAGAATTTTTAAACTGTAGTGTTTATTACTTTTCTTGACAGTGACTGGTAATCACACACATTCACGAGCTCCGTCCAGTTTTGGCAGCATTCCAGTTTAATATGCAAACACTAACTTAGGTAAATATATATTTTTACATGTGTCATAGTTTTGTTGAATATCATGATGTACAGTCACTCAAAAACTATCTACACAAAATTGTGTTGAAAAAAATCTGACACTGAGACAACAGGAGTCACAGTGTTCATTCTGAAATCATCGACACCTCCAAGTAGAGATAGTATTTTGAGTGGCTGTACAGCATCTGATTTCTGTGATGAGGGTAATGTATTGTACCTCAGAGTGTGGATAATATACGGTTCAGTGCCCCAGTGGTTAGAATAGTGGTCCTAAAGTTCATGGTCTTGCCAGTGCCTTCATCAGAGAGGGACTTCAAAAAACAAACTTCACCTCATCTAGTTCACCAACATTGACCCATAAGTCATTGTTTACCACTTATCTGAATTTACTGTTCATTTATTTTATTTTTTATCTTGTTTGATGTATATTTATGTATTATAAACTGATGCATGGGAGCACTATCCTATTGAACCATGTTTTAGAAAATGAATCCCTTCACAATGGAGATGCCACTTTTAATATTTTATTTGGCCAATGTCAGATTATTTTATTCAGCACAAAGAGACTCTCATACACAAGGGGTGAATGAGTGTTTTAGTCATTTGTTTAATATGATGGTCACATATTAGACAAGGCCAAAGGACTTTTACACAGTATTCAAGCAAGCAACTTCAAATGACTCCAAATCTTATTAGTTTATCATGTGAGAAAAATCTGTGGAAAAAAGTGAATGGCTCTGTATAAAGGTACAGTGAATGTTTCAATTACAGTATCTAAAAAGTGAATATGTGGTAATTCAACTTGTCCCAGCAGCTTTTGAGAAGTAAACCTTCATTTAAGGGGCCTTACTTGAATTGATTTCGTTTAATTTATGGGAGACTTTTTTAAAATATAAACTGTAACTGAGTTAATCATGAGTACAGGATAAGGTTCAGTATTTATACTTGATCAGACTTAATGTATGAAGACCATAATGAATTTATACATATACTGTACCAGTACTGTAGTGAGATGTACTGTATGTGTAAGATGTATACTGATTACTGTACTGTAAGATGTATACTGATTACTGTACTGTACCTGTATATGTACAGTCAAAGACAAAGCTTGTGTCCTCGTTCTGTCCAATGATCACGGTCCATCTAACAAACCGTATTGAAAGCCTTGCCACGACTACATCCTGGCAGTAGGGAAGCCTGAAACCAACTGTTCCAATGATACGAGGAAGCGTGCTGAAAGGTTCACCATGTGTGAGATGCTTTCACCAATTTTCTGGCCACGATTTTTGTCTTTGACTGTACATTGGTTTTATTAATAGACCAAAGAATTGAGAATTTTAAGATTTTAAAACATAAACAAGTTCTGTACCAGTGGTTGGCCTGATGAAAGTATTATAAGTAATTGTCTTCCAGTTCTCTGGGCTTAATTATCAAGAGGTTGAATCTCCAAGGTGACTTACAGGGAATGGTGCAGGTAGATCTCAATACAGTATATAGAAGGGTTCTGTAAATTGAAGTGTATTTTCCCACTGACTCCCATTGTACTGGGCTGTTCATTAGGAGATACATTCCTATGAAACAAAAGGATTCCTTTGACACAATAGAATGACACTATCCTACATGGGCCACTGGCCTCCTTCCTCCATCAAGATTGTCTCTAGTTAGGGTGGCCATGAGGTAAATCAGGCAGGTAAACATGTTTTAAGGGAGAATAATAAAAAAAAAATGATGATAATCAAACTTGTACAATACATGTAATGCTAATGACTTCAATCCAAATCAAAAGACAGATATTGTACCATACAATACTGTAATTACCAGGAGTCAGTCATCTCGGTACAACTATGGAAAACGAGATTATTTTTATGAACATACTGTACATACAGTATTTGATTCTATTTTAAGAATGGAATGTGTGATAACTGTATCCAATTCAATACAGTACTGTACCTGCCTGTAACTAAAACAAACTAAACAATACTCTTTTGGCCAGGAGTTCAGACAAACTATCATCGTAAATGTTATTGATGTACTGTACATGACAGTACTGTACTTGGTGCTAAACATTGTCTTGGTGTTTATTGGTGGTACGCTATTTCTACCAACCTGTATTATTTTAATTCCACACCACAGTACTGTACTTGAGTCATGGTGTTGCAGGATGCCAAATTTCTCAAGCATAATTATCACATGATAGAAAGTTGCATACAGTAAACAACATATGTGTGTACGATGAAATTTTAATGGACTAATAAGAATAAATAGTGTCCGGTAACCTGACTTCTGAGTTGATATCACAGGTTACAAACTTAGATGGTGTACAGTATTACCAGAGAGGCACAGCACTGTACACCTAATGGTAACTAACACAAGGCATGAGTGTGAACATTATTATAGTGTATTAGTTTAAGGTCAGGTACTGTATATTTCTGGTACATATTTAAATATAATTATGAGATATCAGGTAGTTTGTTTCATTAGCAATGTTTAAAAATTAATAGAAAAAAGGTACAGTAATGCAGTAAAAGTTTGTACGATGACCACAGTATTTAAAAGAATAAAGACATACCCACACTTAGAAGGATGGAACGAGTGATGTCTTAGAATTGATGGGAAGTACACATGTTGATGAATGTATGGAGATCATGGTATTAAATGGTGTCTGAGGAAGAATATGATGGCTGATGCTGGGATTTGTGAAGTAGAAGAGGTGCACTAAACTTGAAGGCTTGTTGTGGAGGGGATGCATCTTTTACAGTGGTTAGGGGGATATGTGTGTGTGTGTGTGTATACCTCTGTGTGTGCCTCTGTATGTTTGTGTGTGTGTATGCCTCTGTATATGTGTGTGTATGCCTCTATATGTGTGTGTGTATGCCTCTGTATATGTGTGTGTATGCCTCTGTATATGTGTGTGTATGCCTCTGTATGTGTGTGTATGTATGCCTCTGTATATGTGTGTGTGTATGCCTCTGTATATGTGTGTATACCTCTGTGTATGTGTGTGTGTATGCCTCTGTATATGTGTGTGTGTATGCCTCTGTATATGTGTGTGTGTATGCCTCTGTATATGTGTGTGTGTATGCCTCTGTATATGTGTGTGTATGCCTCTGTATGTGTGTGTGTGTGTATGCCTCTGTATATATGTGTGTGTGTATGCCTCTGTATGTGTGTGTATACCTCTGTATATGTGTGTATGCCTCTGTATATATGTGTGTGTGTGTATGCCTCTGTATATGTGTGTGTGTATGCCTCTGTATATATATGTGTGTGTGTGTATGCCTCTATATGTGTGTGTGTGTGTATGCCTCTATATGTGTGTGTGTGTGTGTGTATGCCTCTGTATATGTGTGTGTGTGCTTCTCATTTCTGACCACCCACATTAAACAGAAAACGACGAAATAAAAAAAAATATATATAAAGCAGAACCTCAGTACAGTATTCAGAACACCCCTGGAACTCCACCTGACTGTACTCTGACAAGGGCTGTACTCATTGTGCTTAACTAGGGGGTAACCAGGACTCCATATTACCAATAGTACTTCACATAGCTTCACTGACACCTCTCCCTTGTACTCCAGATTACCTAGAGTACTTCACCTAGTCTCCCACAAACTAATGTGCGACTAGTCAATAGGTAAGTAATATATTGTATATAATTCAAAACTCTCCATACGCTGATTACTGATAAATTTTATGGTATGTAGAAATAAAGGAACCTCTGTATTTATTGATGGGTGACGTGACCACATACTGTAGATGTTTCATGATCTGGACTGAAAAAATCGTTTGAATTCAGTAGGTATCCTGATTATGAAATGTGTCAATACAGTATTATGTTGACAGTTTGAGTTGTGTTATCAGTGAGTTGTGTTGTGTTGACAGTTTGTGTGACAGTGTAGTCCATTCAACAGTTAAAATATTATGAGGTAGAACTCTTTTGGGATAGAGTGACAGGAACCAAGTTGCTCACGTATTGACACACACACACACACCTACACACACACACACACTGTTTCCATCACAAGGTTTACAGTAATGAGAGAGGGTCGTTCATTGGTCCATACCTGTTGATTGTTTACATGTCAGAAAACGTCTAACCAGTTTACGAATCGCTTTAAATTTAGCCCTCAGCTTATTTCACCTTAAGATTAGCCACCCTAATGCTCTCTTGGAGAGGGTTAGGTTAAAGATAAGGGGGCTAATCTTTAGGTGAAATAAGCTAGAGGGCTAATCTTCAGGTGATCCCAGTTTATCAGACATGCAAAATACTCCGGCGGTCAGTGACCCTCTGCCCTAAAATGAAAATATGTAAATTGTAAAGAAATCGTCGATATTTTTTAATATCCTGGCATTACTAGAATAGAATCGTATATAACTCTTGGCACTCTCCAACGCCTGGTGAATGTTAGTTTAGGGTAGGTTAGGTCAGGGTAGGCTAAGTCAGGGTAGGTTAGGTTAGGTCAGGGTGGTCGCTTCTGCATTTCATCAGAGTTTGGGAGAATTCACTTAAAAATGAGTTAAGTAAGAGATAACACATTTCTGGAAGGATTCTGCTGGGTGTGGAAGTGTGTCACATGTTAGTTGGCTGGTGTGTGAATGTTTCCACAGTAATGAATAATTAATAACAAACATTTATCTCTGGGGACCAAAGAATATTTAGTACGATATTAAACTGTTTCCTGTTGTGGTGATTGAATAGTATTGTCGTAGTTAAATGAATAGTAAAGATTTTTCGCAGTTAAATGAATAGTAACGAGTTGTAGCTAAAATACTGTTTGGTTCAGCCGTAAACACAGGTTATGATGATGTTTATTAAAGGTGACATCATCCACAGGTTCAAATAAATGTCAAAGATATGACCCGACACTGCTACCAGGTGAGCTAGGTGGGTGGGCTGCCCCGCGTACAGGAGGGAGGGAGGGAGGGAGCGAGCAGAGGAACTCGAGTTATCTTGACACGCGCATAGGGCATGTTATGACGAAGGCGTGGCACAAACAGGGCGTGGGGCAGGGGCGTAGTGTGAGGGCGGTTGGCGGTGGTGACACAAGACATATAGGGAGGCGCGGCTGGGTGGCAGAGGAGCTGGCTACAGTGGCGGCGCCTCACACACCTTCCCCCCTCCACCTCTCGGTATCGACCACTCCTCCGCTCACATCACTAACCACACCTTTTTAGGACACATCCTTAAGCGGAAATTGAGGTAAACCTACCTGAGCTGTGTGTACATCCAGTGCTCAGCTGTCTTATTATGTGAGGAAAACCATTGTCACCTTGCCTCATCCCTGCCGGGGGTCGAACCCGGGACCTTTGGATTAGAAGTCCAACGCGCTTTCCACTGCGCCACAGGGACAGCTGATCTCCGAAGTGCCGGCCTGCCAGGACAAGGGGAAGCACTCAGCACCATATTAAGGAAAAATACATAACTAGAAGCTGTAACATCAACAACAGGTACTAGCAGGAACATGTCAGGTGATGTTCAACCTACTGCCTGGAACCTGTAGCTACCTGTGTGTAGTACACCTACGCACACCTGTACAACATTACATGTACTTGATGATTCCGACAGACACTAAACAGTACAAAACAACATGTAAAATTGACTGACAATTCACCATGACTGGCCCACACACACACACACATGTCTGTCATCCTCTCATTCGCCTGCCAACCACACACGATTCCCATCCTCATTAAAAATCCTCCCTGACACAATACCTTGCTGTTATTATCACCGCTCAAACTTAATGTCACCGTGCAGCTTGTATCATCACTCAAGATTGTTTACAGATTAAGTGTGATGGTGGGATGTGGTCTCAGATAACAGGTGAGGGAGACATGAGAGGTGAGGCGTGGCTGATCAAGGTCTCGTGTTGACTCTTTAATCAGCAGTAAGTGATAGGCTACTGACCTCGCTGCCATCCATCATCTCAGTCATGCATGCTGTTACCTCTACTACCACACCTGGGATCACCTGAAGATTAGGCACTGCAGCTTACTTCACCTGATGATTAAACAGAAAGGTTAAGTTAGGTTAGGGTGTTTAACCAATCATGAAAAATAAGTTGGGGTGCTTAATCTTCAGGTGATCTCCATTTCTAACAGTATGTGTCGCCGCCATGGCAAATAGTGATGCCATCATACTACTGGTTCATGACAGATTGTAGACATCATACTACTGGTTCATGACAGCTTGTAGACATCATACTACTGGTTCATGAAAGCTTATAGACATCATACTACTGGTTCATGACAGCTTGTAGACATCACACTACTGGTTCATGACAACTTGTAGACATCATACTATTGGTTCATGACAGCTTGTAGACACCATACTACAGGTCCATGACAGCTTGTAGATATCATACTTGTTGAGGATAACAACTTGTAGACACCATACTACTGGTTCATGACATTTTGCACCTGTATGTCGTTCAGGTGTTGGAATCCCACATGAATCTCTGATAAGAAATGTCCACAAGTGCTGGGTTTTTCAATTATAATATTAAATGAGTTAATACCGAGTATCTGCTGGCGCCTTGTGTCTAGTGTATGAAAATTATATAAAGCAGACCGACCTTTCCAGCACTGACGACACAACGCCACAATGACGCAGTGACAAAAGATGACAACAGCGCGCCTTACTGTCCCGCTGAGATCACTGGAGATGTATCCGTCCCCCCTCTCCTCTCACCAGTTACTTCTACATGTAGTCTCTTAAAACATATCTCTATTTGTGAGGGGGGGGGGTTGAATTTCAGAATGAACACTGACTCCTGTTGTCTTGGTAGGGTCGCCAAAATCCTTCGTCCGTTGTGTCATGTTTTTACAATACAATTTTGTATACTACTACTACTACTACAACAACTACCGCTACTAATAATAATACCAATCTTACTACTACTACTACTACTATAATAATAAAGTCCTTAGCTAGTTTTATTTCAGCATGTGGGTAGATAATCATGGTCGATTACTTGGTGTGGATTAGCAGGTGAGACGCCGCGAGGACTGACTCACCTGTCATCGACCACATATTGACCACAGGTATTGACCCAGGTAACCCCCTCACAGGTATTGACCCAGGTAACCCCCTCTGGACACCACTACTCTGATTTAGTGGAGTCAACCTTATACTCTACACTATCACCAGAAGGTATTATCTCAGTGTTGTGTTAGCTAGCAGTTGTTATAGATCTAGACAACAGGTATTGGTTGGATCATCTGAAGAATCTCCACCTCAGCTTATATCACTTAAAGATTAATCATACTAACACTAGACTAACCTAACCTAACACTAACCCGCACCTCACCAAAGCAGCCAATCAGACGTTGTTACTCTACAAATATATACCTATTGTCTATTTACATGACAACAGGGTTACTAGCTTAATATGGGTAATAATGTTAGTGTTTTTATGATTATTATAGCATTTAATAAAACAATATTGACTTACTACATCCTGACAACAAGAGTGATCGCAAGTCTTTGTAGGGCTGGTAATAGTGCGTTCATCTGAGCCAACACTACATGATTGTTCTTCTCACAATAATGTATATTTAACCTGGAGACACTCGGCTAAAAGACACTCTCCTGATATTATGTTGTGCAGTAACTATATAATAAAACCTTTACTGATCGGCAGACAGCGGGAGGTCACTGTGATGGCCTTGATCGTTGCTCTCATGTCTTCAGTTTCTTTGACATGGCAATTTTTTGTCTTCTTCTTCACTCATGTAGACAATATCTCACTCACCTGACAGGAAGAACGCGCAAACAACCGTATCTGCCACATACCTGCCAACCGTTATCGATTAGTTATACCGATAGTGTCAGCGAGAGAAACGATCATTTACCATGTGTTGGCTCCCCAGCTGCTTGTCACCTGCCCTTGTAAACTGCTAGTACACACAGGTAATAAATCAGGTGTTATAAATATTATTGAGGTGTGTTCAGAAACTATCTACTTCTTGGCAGGAAACATATTGTGGTCGTGACGCCGTGAACAACAAATATTTATAATAGTTTACTTGTTTATTGGTCTGGGTACAGATTGTGACAAGTTTGTACAGTACTAGGAATTTTCCTCATCACCTGAAGATTAAACACCCCCAGCTTATTCCACCTGAAGATTAGACACCCCCAGCTTATTTCACCTGAAGATTAGACACCCCCAGCTTATTTCACCTGAAGATTAGAACCAACTTATTTCACGTGAAAATCAGACAACCCCAGCTTATTTCACGTGAAAATTAGACAACCCCAGCTTATTTCACATGAAGATTAGACACCCCAGCTTATTTCACATGAAGATTAGACACCCCCAGCTTATTTCACATGAAGATTAGACACACCCAGCTTATTTTCACATGAAGATTAGACACCCCAGCTTATTTCACGTGAAAATTAGACAACTCCAGCTTATTTCACATGAAGATTAGACACGCCAACTTATTTCACGTGAAATTAGACAACCCAGCTTATTTCACGTGGAAATTAGACAACCCAGCTTATTTAAATGAAGATTAGACACCCCAGCTTATTTCACAAGATTAGACAGATTAGACACCACATGAAGATTAGACACCCCCAGCTTATTTCACATGAAGATTAGACACACCCAGCTTATTTTCACATGAAGATTAGACACCCCAGCTTATTTCATATGAAGATTAGACACCCCAGCTTATTGATAAAAAGAATCTTATTTTTTTGTGATGTGGGAAATCATAGGAATCGAACCAGTGGCCTCTATGAAGTGAACGCTGTTTCTACTCTACCACCGCACATTTCCATCAAAGCTTAAGCAAAACTTTAGTGTAGATAGGGCGTGAAGGGGAGAGAGAGGAGGAGAAGGTCGGAGATTAATTAGATATTGTTGTTCAGAAGACAGAGATATTTACCGTACAATAATCTATGGCGTTTGCTATTGTTGAACTCTGATATTTCAATTTGTTTATACATCATAATATTAACGTGTCCATTTTTTATATAATTAAACTAAATTTACTTTCATTTCATCTGTGAACGCCCATTCGTGTTTCATATAGTAAAGAAAATAAATTCCTGTCTTCTGTAGATTTACCATGATAAATAAATTTCTTATTTCACTCATTTATCTACAATGTCCTATGTTAATTTACTAATTTGTTAAATGAGCTGTAAATCATTTTAATTTATATCTTAGAAAGAGAGTCTTAGATGGTGGTGGGGCTGGATCATCTGGTCTACATCATTCACCAATTATAATGTTTGACAGTTTTATGATTATATTATTATCATGGACGCCACTACCCTCTAACTTTATATCTACTATCCCTCCATAACACCATAAGGTTAAAGAATAAGAATAAGAGCCATTTATGCCATCATCATCCTCTGTTACCATTAAACCCACATTTCGTGACGGCATTGGACTTGTAATGATGACGTCACGATAAACAAACTTGTGTGGTGGAGGGAACTACCTCGTCCTCCTCCTCTCCTCTACTGAAAGGATTCTCGACTTTTTGTGACGTCATCAACTTCAAGCGAATACGTCACTGGCATCTACTCGCACGTGCCTGCATAATTTTGCGTTATTTATTTCCAACAATTTAATGCTACATCACTGGCATTATTTTAAACATTATCCTACATCTAATACGTACCAGAGACATGTTGTAGTCTACCCATGGAAGTTTTCGTATTCTATGATGTCATTATCCGATATCTGGTGCCATCATCAATGACGTCATATACGTAAACACGCCAAAGTATGAGGTGGACTGAACCAACCGCGCATTTAAACGCCCGGGTAAGGAGCTTATGGCTAGTGAGGCCATCTTAGCTCATCTGTTTAAAATTTTAATGGTAATACAGGCACGAAAACCGTGTATTATCCCCTGCTCAACTAATGGGGAGCAATAAGTATGATGACGTCATATACTGGCGGATGATTGGCTGGAAATACGAGATAGGGGGGCTGTTTGTTATGGTTGTACAGTGTGTGTGTATGGGTGTGTGTGGGTGGGTGTGGGTGTGGGGGTGTGTGGGTGGGTGGGTGGGTGTGTGTGTGTGTGGGTGTGTGTGTGTGTGTGTGTGTATGCATTACTCTACAATATATATATAGTGTTTTTTTCTCTAGATCAGTAAATACATTATGACTTATGACCAGATGTTGGCAACACTGATACACCTCTGGACAAAATCACTCCAGGTCATTTACCATTGGACAAAATATCATTACCTTGAGTTTCTATTTGTATTATAATGTCCAGTGAAGTTAAGTTAGATTAAGGTGCATTGAGTTAGGTTAAGTTTAGGTAAGGTTATTTTTTATTAGATTAGGTTAGGTTAAGGGAGGTTAGATTAGGTTAAGGTAGGTTAGATTAGGTTAAGGTAGGTTAGCTTAGGTTAGGTTAGGTTAGGTTCGAGAACACGATCTCAGTTACTCTATACACTGTCCCCACCACACACACGTCTCTCCCACACAGAGTCGAGAGCCTGTGGGCGTTAGGTGGTAGGAGATGGGTGGGGGTGTTAAGTGGTAGGGGGCTGGGGTGAGAGGTAGATGGGAGAGTGGTGGGTGGGTGCTGGAGGAGGGCGGAGGCGGTGGTGGGGTGAGGGTGATGGCGGATGAGGGTGGGTGGAGGGTGCAGGGGGTGAGGGAGGAGGGAGCACATGAACTCTTTTTCTATTATTTAACAACACACATTTTCCGCTGAGTCAAGAGTATTCCCCATTTCTCTCTGAATATATAATGTAATTACTTCTTGTTATTAAATGTGATAATAATATAATCCGGAATGTGAATCGTATTAAGTTAACAGTGAGGTGAGGTCCAGGTTGCGCCACCACGTGCATACCTCGCCCCAGGAAGCCACCGCCACGCTCCCTCCTTCATCAGTAGCGCCACTCACTCATCACACCAAGAAATGTTTGTTTTAGGCTAAGGCTGACCAGTGATACATCTCATTAAAACAATGTATCAGTTTGCCACCACAGATAGTCAGTCCCGTGATGACTTGCCACGCGCGAGTTCTCCCGTGATGACTGATGATGATGATGTGTGGTGACGTCATGAATCAACAAAACCCTACCATTATCTCAGGTTGATTGTCACCTGAAACCTTTTGTCACAGGTAAGTGTTTCTAGCAAGCGTCTTCACGTCTCATATACGGTGTCATATCGTTTCCACGTGCGTCTTATCTTGGGAGTTTAGTGGAGGGTGATGACGTCATAAGTGCGTCATCACCATTGACAGCTTGTCGTCCGCCTCCACCAATCACGACCCACTTGTCTCCCCATCAAAGAAAACGGACCCACCACTTATATACAGCCGATTTTAGCTATTGTTTTAATTGATATATCCATTCAGGTAATTAGTAATGATAAATACTAAAGATCAATGCTATTTGAAGTAAGAAAAAAGGTATTGTGTTGTGATTAACGCCGATAAGGGTTAATACATGGATCGCAACAGTGTTTAGAGTGTTGGTAATTTTTTTTGTGGCTCGCCTCAACCCGGGATCTGCGCGGCAGCCATTTTGTTATGTCTCCGCTCTTTGTTGTGTGTGAGTGATGTCGTGAAATATTTGTGATTTATCGCGGATACACTCCGTCTAGCAGTGGTTTATATTGACTACAAGAAATTAGATATTACAGCGATTATATAGGAAATCTAAGAATGTGTTTAAGTGAATATTAAGGTGGATAAATAGAACAAGAAGTGCAGCTGGCTGTGTCGCTTCTGTGTGGACGGGTAAGCTCTACGTATCCTGGTTCGTTGGGCTTATTTTGGGGCTCTACAGGGGTTGTCGGTGCCCCTCTTTCTTGATTATATGCACCGACTTGAGTGAAGTTATCAATCTGATGGCTTGGTGTCTTACTGAAATTTTAATTTGTGCTTCAAAATAGAACAAGATAATGAGGAAGGCAGTAGACTCCACGAAAAATGGCGTCGCGCTTTGAGGTTTTGGATGGATTTCATGCGGGCTCTTCACCATTGGCTCGGCAGATTATTCCTGTACCTTAAAATATCCATATGAACTTTATATCTCGTGTTATAATTGTTGTGTAATGTTTGTTAAGGGATAGAGAGGTTGTGGTGTGACGTCCCCAGATGCCTTAGTCGCATTGATATAATCATTATTGCATTATAAGCCCTCCATATTCTCCTGAAGGATCCCGCCACACGTTGGAGGAGGAACAACGTATAAAATAATTTTATATGAACGGAAATCCGCTTCTCAGGACATTTCCCTCATCGATTTGAAGCCAAACTAGCCCAGTGTCTGCCAACTGTTGGTGGCGGGAATGTTTCGCGCGCTCTGCATTGGCGCGCTTTCAAAACCCATCATTCACACCGTTATTCTACCTTATATTTGCATTACTCTGAGATTTTATCGTAGAGAGAGGTGCTACATTGCATCTAGAACCCTGTGATGTATGTTGTGTTCCCCTGGCAGAGTCCCGTGGTCACGTTGGGTCCCGCAACAAGGTGAAACATTGTTGGATCACGGACGAAAGTATTTGACATGGGTGCTAACCCTTTCTTCAGTGAAAACAAAGATAATAAAGAGTATTTTTAGCTGTCAGTGATGAAGGTTATTTAAACCTAACTAGTTCCATACAACAGTTGTGATGTAGCCACGCCTTAGCTCTGGTTGTCCCGTTATTCTTCAAAACTCGCTGTGAGAAAATACAAGTCGTCAACTGCTAGGGACATTGGTTGTTAGCATTTGTTTGGCGCGAAATTCAAGTCAGCTGTCCACTGTGTCGTGGGCAGCTCTCAACGTTCACTGGACACCAGCCGGAAGGGATACACATAATTGCTTGTATTTATGTATTAAAGAGTGTATGATGATGTATTTCATTGTTGCCAGTGTGAGAAGGTCAAGCACAAGTTGATATGGAAAGGGAAAGGGGTTACTCTGATAAATGTGAACTCCATGTTAATGTTGTCGAAAGTACCAAGTAATATTATGTGCCAGTTGGTTAAGAATGTTCTAGTTTACCCCGTAAGGACCACTTGTGCTTGGGGAGAGAGCGGACAGAAAATGAGTGAAACCTGAGTGTTGTGTGCGCGCGTGCGTGTGTTGTATGTGCGTCATCCCTCGTTCGTACACAGGCAGGCATTTGACATTTCCTGCTGTCTGAGGCGCCTCGTACGTACTATCATGATGTTTTCACCTCATTAGTAAACACACTGTGCCTTATTTACTGTCACCAAGCCATTAAGTCTGTGGCCATAAAGCGAGGTATAACTTCATTTTTTATTTATAACTATTATGTCTTGAAATATGATTCTTCTCATGTGACATGTTCCCTTCTTCGCATTTTTCTAACGTTATTGTTAGTTGTCATAAAAACTAAAGCTAATCTACATATATCTTACTAACATAGCACTGTCCTACATATTCTATCACGCAACGAGATACGTACTGAAAAATTCATGTATCAGTTTTGCCAAAAAAAGTACGTACTGTTAAAGAGTAATCGCGACAGGAACCATTTTGTTTAAATATGTAGGTGTGTATGTGACTTTACGCTCTGATTATCATGACATTAGGGCGAGGGGAGCAAAGTACAGTAGTATGATAGACATGTAATTTGCGTATTGAAGCACGATTTTAGTTTTTGAATAGATGAGGCAGTGCATGATGTTCAACTTTGTGTTAAGAATAGTCTCCTAAGTGCATACAGGTAACAGTCATCGGTAGAACTTTTCTGGTTACCGCTAAGCATGCAAAAACACGGCCCAACAGGATGTATGTTTGTGTGCTCCCCCTCACACTTCCGGCTTAGCGCCCCACCACTCCCCCCACTCTCTCCCCCCGTCTCCCTTGCCACCACCTATCCGAACACACTCGCTGAGTCGCACTTCCCTCACCTCGGCCGAGCTTTGGGACGCTGACAGGTCACGTGACTATTTGTCTCGTGTTTAAACGGCTTTTAAATTTCGCGGAATGAGACACCAACACGCCAGCTTTTGCGTTTCAGTTCGTTGGAATATTTTGGCGTGTTACATTGTGACGATAAAAGAAATTAAAGGTTTTTAGGATTGATATTTTTAATTTATATATATTCGTAGTTAACTATGACTGTTAAGCGAGCTAAGTCAAACATTTGACCAATCACGAATGCTCATTGATTTGTTTATCAACACGGGAGGTTATGGAGAAACGAGGAGTTGCCACAGTGGTTATCTGCGGTGGCTGATCCAATTCTTTATACGTGGGTTAGCTTGCTATGAGGCCATCATGCTCTATCGAGGTTACAGGGGAGGTTGGCAGATTAAGGGGAGGGGGTGAGAGCTTTTATGCCACGGGGAAGATATAATTAGCAGCCTTACTCTACAGTATCGTTGAAGTTCAGAGCAGATGTGATGGAAATATATGATTCAGAGTCAGGACATTGTTGTGAAATATGTGTTTAGTGATTCCGTTTCAGTGATTCTGTGATTGTTAAGTGTTGAGGTGAGGTGATCACTCATACTTCTCTTGAAAATGAATGTAATCGACCTGTGGAATGTGTATTGTGTTGACACCTTGATGTATACTTCCACCCAGTCCATGATTTACTACAACACGCTGCCCTGTAACTACTTGTGGTACGTTATGGCATAGTTTAGGGGACTTCATGCTAATGTTGGTTTATTGTAATTCATAGAATGCAAATCCAGTGGTGAAACAAGGAAAAATAATGACTGAATTTATTTAAGAGCAGGAAGGCAGACTGTGGCCTCCGTGCCTTCAATGTTTCGACTGAAAACATTGTTGAATTATGTCTGAATTTAACAGGAACAAACCACTGTGTGTAATAATGTATACTCTGGTTTAACATTACTCAGCGGTTTATTTATGCTAAAATTAGACATAATCAGTTATGGTTTTTCTTAATTTCACTGAAGGCACAACTGTCGTGGATTCCTTGCTGCTTCCTAAATACAAAATTATGATTTTCTGGTTTAACTTTTGAATTTAATTTACGTGTGCATTTAAAGAATAATTGTTTGTGATAACTCCTGATAAAACACCGTTACTCCACTGATATTTAATACTGTAAATTATATAAGGGTATACTTTGTGCAACTGTATTATATATTTGTTTTTTTTTTAGGAATTTTCACTGGTATTATATATGGTAATTATATTTAAGTATTCATTGTCCAGAATATTATAGACTTTGATAGGTAAAGAGTGTTGTGTTAATACAGCACTGTGTTAGTAATGTACGTCGTGTGTATTGTAGATAGTGTCATGAATATTGTTGAAACATTAGGTACAATAGCAAAGAGTGTGTGTGTGTGTGAAGAGGAGGATACCAGTTTGTTGTTGCCTAAGCAGTGTTTATAACAAGTTTAGTTTTATTTATACATATATATATGTAAATTCCCAGTGACCACACAGTCCTGATAGCGATATAAATAACAAACATCAAATTTCCTAAACAGTAGAAAACATGTGAATTGTTTATAGTACAAGGGTTATGGGTGTTTGCTTGTGTGTTTACTTTTAAAGGTACTGTATGTCAGTCTGGATTGTCTTTGTTTATTTGTTTACTTGTTTGAGTGGAGTGGCCTCATTAGCTGCATTGAGTACATTTGTGTGAGTGTGTGACTAACATGGGTGCGGGTATAGGAGGAAATGACTGGGGAACAGTGTCATGGGTTCAGGGGTTCCTAAGGAAATAACTCAGTACAGAACAACATTTAGGTGTGTTCCAATACTATACTTTGCCTCTTGGTTCCTACAGGGTGTTAAAGATCTCATTTTAATGTTGTATTTTTCATATCAAGTTTGATGGAAAGTTTTTAGTGAATGTCGATTTTTTATTATGTTTTTGGGGATCACCTGAAGATTCTCATCCCCAGCTTATTTCACTTATAAGACTAACCACTCTAACCCTAACCTAACCTAACTTAACCCTAACTCATAAATCACCTGTAAATTGTGTAAATGTCCAGGAAACTTGGTCATTATTCTCTTGGTTTTAATTCACTAAAAGCTGTACAGTACTGGGATTGGTTTAAAGACTCATGCTGTAGTAATTATGTTTATATGTTTAATAACGTTAATTGTAAAGATTCAGAGCTTTGTAATGACCTATTGTGCTGTATTAAAACAACCATAATAAAAT